AAGGTAGTTGCTGATGTCAAAATCTGCACTCCACCCTGGAGGAGGATCCCCATTGGTAAGGTCAAAATCACCCTTGTGTTCCAATGGATCATGGTGCCAAAGCAGGTAGTCTGGAAACATGAATGGGAGATGCAGTAAACTGTTATGCAGAAGAACTTTGGGACAGTCAAGAAGCCAGTGTAGAAAATGAAGAATGGAGATGCGCCCCATCTACTGAAGAATCCATGGATTCTGGAATTCCTGCAAAATAGATTGAGAAAAGGAGTGTTTCTTAGATCCTTAAGGACCATTGCAGGATGGCAAACTCCCTCCAGTAAGGCATCTCTCTTAAAAAGATCTTAGCCACAAACACACTAAGATACCAAGGAGAGAGCAGAAGGCTACAACCTAACCAAAGTGGAAGTCAATAAATGATTAAGATCCTCCAAAATTTGAAAAGAGGATCTATGATAGGCCTCAGACAACAATTGCAAAGATGATAAAAAACAAAACAAATGGAAAACTGTTGTAAGTGACAGACAAATTCTGGAAACTGAGATTGTTTAAGAGGAAGAGTGGCATTTTGTCTAGAGCCCAAAGTAGGAAGTAAAGGGTCTAACCTCTGAGAGTTCAAATAAGGGTTCACCAGGAGATGGAAAGCCAAGGCATACTGATGTAATAAACGAGGAAGGCAAGACATGGCAATACTTTCCCTCAAATAATCTGCAAATCTCCTCATATGCAGTGATGTCATTACTGAAATTGGAAGAAGCCATGATAGGTCCACCTGGAGTCTGTTACCAGTTCCACAAGATTGACGAAACCTGTATATAAAGTACAGTGTTTGTGAGGAAAGCAATGAAGATTTTATGTTTGATGGTGTGCTAATTATTGATGAATTGATCTTGTTCAAAGTGAACCTTAAAGTGAAAGAAAGGGGCAAAGGTGAGATTGAGCTAGAAACTTGACTTACAGGAAAGGCAAATGAGGTGCTGGAAAAATAGTCTAAATTCTCACTAGTCCACCCTTGATCTCCCACAAATTCTGCCTCAGAGCCAACAGGAGAAAAACATCAGACCACATGTAAGACTATCCCTCTGCATATAAGGAAATGTATGTCCTCCGGGTAACATTCAAAGTGTGAGGTGATGAAGGAGAGGCATCAGGCGACTCTGTCTGAGACTTAAATGTGAGCATTCATATTTGAAAAAACATCCCCAATATTTTTTCTTATAAAATCAAGAAAACAAATAATAAAATCAAGCCCCACGAAGGATTTAAAATAATTTAGAAAAAAATATTGCAAATGTAGTATTAGCCCTGAAGAGCAACCAGTAGTACCCATGTAAAACCATCTTTGTAATTTTTGCCATCGAGTGAACAAGAAAGAATAACGGGAGCTTATTTACGGATCAGGTATAGAGGGTGCACTGACATGGGTTGAGACAGAGAGAGTTTGGCCAACTGGCAATTTATGAAGTCATAACTGAAATTGGAAGCCATGATAGGTCCACCTGGAGCCTGTTACCAGTTCCACGAGCTTGATGAAACCTGTATATAAGTATAGTGTTAGCGAGGAAAGCGATGAAGATTTTATGTTTGTTGGTATGCTAATTATTGATGAATAGATCTTTATTTTTTGGACAAATAGGTTTAATGTTTTGTTAAGTATATTTAATCAAGTTTCCTTTTGGTACTATCTGTACAGTTTTCAAACTGATCTTGTTCAAAATATACCTTAAAGGGAATGAAAGTGGCAAAGGTGAGATTGAGCTAGAAAACTTGACTTACATATGAAGAAACAAGTTACTAAGTATTGCATTGCAAAATGCAGAATTTTGCCAACTTGTTACACAATTGCAAAGATGCAGAGCAAAATGTTTTACATAGGCACAGGCCTTGGCTCTAGGCTTAACTTAATCCCATGAAAATGCTCTACAAAATGTGAAAAATGCTGTACAAAATCAACAATTCATGGCAGATTAACTCTGCAAAATTTGACAGCTAAATTGTTCGTTGCATATGTGGGCTTAGCTTAGGTTAGCCACTAAGTCAGAAGCATAGACTAGCTTACAAATCATTTAGCCTAGCATTATGCCTAATAATATTAGACTAGGCATTTCACTGATTCATGTAGGGTCCAATTTTTCTTTTTAGGCTAAAGCCTTAACTATATGTAAACACTTCGGGTATATAAATGACTATACCAAACTTAAATGTTAGCAAGACATAACATTGTAGCCTAAAGTTAATGTTAATGATCATAGGCATAGAATAACATTAATCTGGGTTAAGTGGCTTTTGTCAGCCTCCAATTCAAGTTCTGTAATATTGAAACACCCCAGCATGGATTTTTCTGTGATTGATGTGTTTATCCCATATTTCAAAGAGATTTTAGAAAAAAGTTATTTAAAATGAGTGAAATTTAGTGTATTTTTCTGTTACTCAATCTATGTTACCTCATACAGTTTTGTTCAGTTTGCCTGTGATCTCCAACCTGTCCTCCTTACTTTCGCTTCCCAAATTTTTCTCCTTTCAAGATCTGCCAGAAAGCCAAGCAAGCAGACACCATTTTATGTTCGATTGTTGTAATCCCAGGCAGTACAACATGGCATTTTTAATAACTTTTTGGCAGATTCCACTATTTTCTGTGAATAGAATTTTAAGTGCCATCATAGAAAGTGCTGTGTTTCCATACCGTGTCGTCTGCTGTCAATAAAGTTTGTTCATTCGAAATGGACCTAAAATGGTACCATGTGGGGGTGGATGGGTATCAGCTTTGGACCAATCAAAAACAGTTACACAGTTGGCCAAACTCTCTCTATATATGACTTTGGGTTGAGAGGGTAACAAGATTAAAATCAGTATGGTCAATATAGTGGGGTTAAAGACTGGAGCAAACAAGATAAAATTCATACCATTGCTTAGGGGGGTAAAGAAGAGAATCTTTCATCGGGATAAAGCTATAGTGATAAAGGAGGTGATGGTGTTTTGGAAAATTTAGTTAACACACAAATTTTGCAAGGTTTACAAATTCAAATCCTGGAAAAGCAGTTTATCACTTTATGTACAGCAGATGGGTTAAAAGATCAAACAAGTCTTGGAGACTACAATTGATATGATACAACATTTACAGTACTTCTCCAGAACATTCTTTTTAACTTCAAGAAGCTTGTTATCATGAAATAATGTTTTGAGCTTTTCTGTTAAGAAGAAGAGAAAAAAAATAACTTTAACTAAGAATATCCTTACTCTATTGTAAAACTGTTGTTATAAGTTCATTTGTGATATGATATCAAACAGTGTGATTTTTTTTTCTTTTGTAAAATGTTAACTACCTAAAAATATGTTTCATCCCACCAAACATGCCTGCCTTTTCAGCCTTGGGGGCATTATAATGTGATGGTCAATCCCACTATTCATTGGTAAAAGAGTAGTCCAAAAGTTGGTGGTGGTTGATGATGAATAGCTGCCTTCCCTCTAGTCTTCCACTGCTAAATTATGGATAGCTAGTACAGATAGCTTTGCACAAAATTCATAACAAAAAAAAAAAAACAGTATGTTTAATCCTTTACTTCTCAACAGATCCTGTGGTAAACTTTTCTTCTTGTTTTGCTACATGTGTAAAGAACCATGGGGACATGATGTAACAATCTTATTTGATTGGGAGGTGTACCTGGCTGCCTTCACAATTCCAGAAGGTATTAAAATTAAGATACCAATTAATTCTGGATAAAGTTTATAAAGAAGTTTGAACTTAAGTTTCCACCCTTAAGGATGAGAGTTGTTCAGTTACCTAAAAAAAATTTGGATTTGCTTTGCACTGGTTTACATGGACAAAAAAATTCAAAAACAACTGACCAATTTAAGTAAAAAAACTCTAGAAATGTTCTTAGTGAGTTTAATACTGTTTCAAAATTGGTTATTTTTATAGATAACTTTACAAATGCATTAGCTGGTAATAATTATATCATTTAATTTGTTTTGGGCTATTGAAAAATTATGCCTCTTCGAGGTTGTTTGACCAAATGTTAGCTACAAAATTATTTTTCCCTAACAAAAGTTATCCATTTCTTTGTATCTTCATGACTTCAGTCAATACAAGCTGTCTCTGACCTTAATGAAGCTGGCTAATTTTCATCATTGTCCAATTGATTAGTTGTCATAGCAAATTTTTCTCTGTTAAAGATGATTTTATAAATTAGGTGTGGAACTTTTGGAAACTTAGTTTTTATATTAGTTGTTTGCTTAGATTTTCTAACTGGATTTATATTGAGACTGAACAGGTACACATCCATACAGGATCAGACACTTATGCACTATAAAATTTAAGCCTATAATTTTCAGTTAAAGTTCCAAAAGCACTGCAATTAAACAAAAAAAATAATAAAATAAAACCAAAGAAGTCTCTGAAATCAAAACAACTAGACATGTACATAAACATAGTTTTAAAGAACACTTTCCTCTACACTTCAAAATTGGAGCATACATTTAGTGTTTGGTAAGTTTGAACTTGTTAGTCTAGAAAGTATCTAAGGATTGGTGTGAGTTTGATCTTTCAGCTCTGTTAAATTTACATTAGCAAACCCTGTTTTAATTTGTTTATCTTTTCCAAACTTTTGTTTTATTTATATCGCATTAAGCTTAAGTAGAAAGTAACTGTGTTGTTAATAGACAAAAGGAAACATACTGCCAATAATAGAACCTTTGGACATATGATTTTGCAATATTGTCAAATATACTGTTATAATGTACAGAAATTTCTGCTTCTAATGATTAATCTAATTTGACACATTATGAGCTGAGAAAATTGCACAATGCTACAGTTAAGTTAGCCTAAAATGTATTTAAATTCCCAAATTTTCATTTAAGTATGCTCTTGAAAGTAAAGATAAATTAACTTGTGTAGAAAGTATGCCTTAGTAAACCAAACATAATGCAGGAAATACACTAAATATCCTAATCTAAGTACTTTGTCAAAAATGAATAAAATTCTAGGTATAATAAAAGTATTTACTAACCTTTCTCTCTTGAACCATAAAGGAAGATACCGGCGAGGAACCCACATAGCAAAACAAGCCATCAGGAGCCACAAAATGGCCAGTTCATCCAGAAGCTGACCCAGCAAACTCAGGGTAGCATGAAAATAAGCTGAACTGAGCCCAATCATCAACAGCAAACTCCAAATCAAAATTATTCCTGGACTAACACACTTGGCATACTGGTGGAACAGTCGCAGTAATAATGGAGGCAAGACAAGAAACAGGACATTGCTTACCTATATTAATAGTAGATAAAACACACCTACTTAAGTACATCAAATCAATAATAAGAAAAACAGGTTTATCCATTCAATCCAATTTAATGTAAAAGCCTCCAGAAATGTCATGGACTATCATTAATGATTTTACAATTATAATATTTAAAATATGAATACACTTAATTAATAACAAGGCATTAAGTCTAAATTTATCATTCATAATATGTTAGAGACTGTTAAATCAATTAAAGGCCAAAATATTTTTTAGATGTCACTATCAAATCCAATAGAAAAGTACTATTTAATTCTCCACACTTTATGTTTAATTTACTAGTAGTCAGACCAAGAACAAATTCAGTACATTGGCTTTATGAATAATGAGATTGTAAGTGATGTCACAAGTTCTCCTAACTTGTAGATGTATGTTTGTAGTTACCTGTAAAAATTTATCTGATTCTATTTATTGTTTTATATTTGCTTCTATCCACTTATAGATTGATAACAATATTGAAGTTAGAGAAGCAAATTTATTTTCTAAAAATGAATGTTCTATTTTCTAGAAATTGTTCATACTGTTGCGACAGCGGAGGTCACGTGACTAGTATC